CCCCAAAACCCCAAAACCCCAAAACCCCATGAAGCTAAATTTGCTTCTATTAGGATTAAATTATACTATAAAGATAAAATTATCACACGGATGTGGTTGTGACAACTAAAGTTTTGGAGGGGATCACTTTACTTAGCTAAATTATAATAAAATGAATTCAAGCAAAAAGTATCTGCCTGACAAAGATTCTCAGAGAACCTTGCATTCTCCTTCAAGAAGCAAAACTAAGGCTTCTAAATCCAAGGAAAAACGAAAAACTAATAAGAACTTAGAAAAGTAATTTTAATTTAATACTTGATTATAGATAATGCCATTGCTGTGAAAGTGGGACACCAAATTGTGGCAAAATAGTTCCTCAAAAACGTAAAACTAAAGATACCAAAGATGAAAATGATAATAAACCTATTAAAAAATCTCCTAAAATTAATATGCCAATCGTAAAAATTATTCCATTTTAATTGCCATTGCTAGAACCAGATTAACATTAATGTCACAATCATTGATGACGATAATCACTAATTGAAGATATGTGTTAAATGAAATGCATTACAATTCCCCTAACAAAAACAAAAAATCATAGAATCCCCTATTAAATAGAGTAGAAAATAATCCACAATAAAACCCTCAGCCATATCTAAGATAAAATAAAAACTTGGAAGTAAGTTGAAAAAATCCTTGATCCTTCATGAAACTTAATAAAGAATGGAAAAATTTTCTATCATAAAGTGAGGACCTATAATCAATAAGAAATTTTCTGCAAGAAGAAGAGAAAATGGATAGTTTAAGAAGAAAAGCAAGAGGAAAGATTCGTATAAAATTATCAAAGAAGATGCAAGTGCTCTTTTTAGCTAGAGTCCCTAAAAGAAAAGTATTGACTATTAAAATGAGGATTCTCAAATAAGAAGTAATTATCGAAGTAATAAGACTAATCTAGATATCTTATCATTAGGGTTAGCGTTTTCGCGACCTCGAAGGCAAATTAAGAAACCCACGTTTTTCTAATTGTAAGTTTAAATTATCTTTACAAATTATTAGTCGAGATGAGAAAGGTTTGAATACAGACAGTGGATATTAGCTAATAGAGTGTGTTAAGTATGGCAAGACTAACGAGTAAAAAATGAAAGTATATGTTACAACGACTGCGTTATTGCAGATTCAGATTCACTGTCATGTTCTTAAAAAAGAGATAATAGGATTTGTAGGAGGCTATAACTTTTTAAACGAAAGGAAAAAGACTCAGACTCTAGTTATTACTGAGGCATATCCTGGTGATCCAACTTCTTTCAATTAGTTGACTGCCGAAGAATAAAAGGATTTAGAGAGGAATGTGGAAATATCCCCTGAATCTTAGTAAGTTTATATTAATAATATTTTAGGTAACAGATCAGATAGAAAATTGAGATGAGAAATTAGATTCACATAGGGTGGTATCATAGTCACCCTTTTTTTGAACCTTCACCTAGCTAAGTTGATATTGAGAATCATTCAAATCATTAAAGAGAGTTCTCAAAATCTAAGATGCCTTACATAGGTATAATTGCTGCTCCCTTTAATAATCCAAATCATAAGAAACGGTTGTCAAAATCGAAGTAAGATTAGTTGTCTTAGTCTGATTCAAATATTGAGTCTCAGAATTCTTAAGAGTCAGATAATCAATCTCAGCAGCGCTAAATTGAGAGTTTTAAATAGCTCCTTTAACTAAAATTATTCCATAATGATGATGAAGATGAAGCAATGCCTTATGAGTTAGATTACTAAATCCTACAAGAAAAATATATTAAGAAGAGGATAATGGCTAAAATATTTCGAACTTTTGACAACTAAATTGAGTAGGAGTCAAAGACATTGATTCCATTCAATGAGCCACTCTTTATCAATCAAGCTAATAGAAACGAATAAATGATTACAAAAGGAGAAAAGTTGATGAAAGTTATTACTGATACTTTGACATTGAACAAAAAATTAGTTAATGATCAGGATATAGATTATAAAGATTTCAGCAAAGTTTTTAGAAATAAACTAAGGAGAGATGGTTCTGTTATTCCAGTCATAATGAATGAATAATAAGTGCTAGAAAAACAAAAACGACCTTCAAAGACTATAGATATTACAAATTTAATTGAGATTTAAAGTTTTGAGAAGCGAATAAAGGAACTTATTAAGAAGTAAGTAGATAAAAGGAAGTAAATCAAGTAAAAGTTAAACTAAAAGAGAATGATTGCACAAACAACCCAATAAAATTCAAAGGTAGAGGAGTGTAATAGTATTTCGAGTTTCAGTGATGTTGTTAGCAGTAGTTCCAGTAGAGAAGATCTCAGTGAAATATCGGATGCAAACGAGAATTACACTAGTCCAAGTCCAAGCTCAGAATCAATTAAAGATTCAAAAAGCAAAAATAAATCAAATCAAGAAACTCAAAAAAAAGAGAGTTTGTCGAAAGAATCACTATGAAAAGTATCTGAAGAGAAGGTAAAACAAAGCAATCCAGATCTGATTAATGCACAAAGCAAGAAAATTCAAATGGATAAAACATAGTAAAATCTGGAAAATCTTGAAGTACATGAGTTTCATACATTTTCTAAAAAAAATTCAATTCCTAAGAAGTATAGTCCTGCGGACTATTGTTTCTCAGATGAAGATTCAATTTAGCATGATAAGGTAGCTCAAATAAGAAAAGACCAGTTTCAAAACACAAATAATAGATAGTCGGAAATAAATTTTGATCCTGGCCCAATTGAGTGTCTCAATGAGGAATACGAGCTAATGGATCTATAGGTTTATAAGCCATTGAAGAAAGATCTAACAAACAAGTCAAAAGAAACTACTTACATTATTGATAGTCTAAAAGATTAAGAAAGTAGCTGCCTAAACAATTTTCAATCAGATTCAAAGTAAAACAGTTAAAAAGAAGTTAAGGTGAGTAGCAAGAGAACTTAGCTTAATGTTGAAAAGTAGCCTTGGAGGAAAGTAATATATCCCATAGATATGCTAGATACCAAAAGACATATGGAGTTATACAATCAGCATTTATTGCAAGAAAAGATGACTTAAGAATTAGCGAAGGCAAGCTGCGAGAAAAGGTCTTAGTTCCTGAATAATATAGACAATAATCAAACAGATGACAGTATAGATTAGTCAAAGTAGCCTGACTAATGATATTAGTAGTATGAACTAGGCAATATTTTTATCAAATTTGAGTTTTTGATTTGTAATTAGTAATCTTTTTAATTTCTTTTTACACTTTAATTTCTATTATTCAACTGAAGGGGTTTTGGGGTTTTGGGG